GAAAAAAACTTAGGTAATATAATATAATATTCTTTTTGATAAAAGAAAACCGAGTGAAAGTATACAGTTTGTATCTAATATATAATATAATATAACTCAAGAACTCAATGAGCCTTTTTTAATTTTTTTTTTTTTTTTAGTAGGTACCTACATTTTGTACATGGATATGGCTTTTAGTTTTAATTAAATTACATACCAAAAAAAAAAAAAAAAAATGCAGACGTAAAAATTCCATACCTACGTGCTTTACAAAACTAATAACAAAATGTTAAATGAGATTTATTAAAAATAAATCAAAATATAATTATGAGAATGAGTATAATCCCCTACAAGTCATTTACTTAAAGCTTAATCCTATGATATTAGTACATTACTATAATAATATAAAATACTAGCTGATCCCGTGCACTTCGTCGCCCGTTAAATGGATCAACTCAATACTACCTACTCAAACTTTGTTCAATTCATTAACGTGTATGGTGTTCAAAATTTATCTTATCCTTCCCGTTGCCCTGAATAAAAATTCTGAATCGCGGCAGTACATTATCAGGTAGGCAATCTACCTGCGGTAGATCGCGGACCCCGTGCTGTTTGTACGGAAGTGTATGATTTAACTCTAAAGTATCAAAGTTATACCAAGTTTATTTTGAAGTAATACTGTGGATTAATATAATAAATTTGGTTGCTCGTAAAAAATCGCAACTCTTAAAAAAATTATGATTGTTGAACTCCTTTTGGGTGTAATTTTCTGCGGTAAGTGCAACTCTGCCACCCTGGTAAGCATTGTTCAATAATTCGATTTGATGCAAGCTTGTACCTGATCTGCCCGAATAACCAATGGCAACCAATAAACAAATGCTAATTTCTAATGTAGACTGTAACCAATGGCAACTATAAATAAATAAAAATAAAATTTCCAATTTCTATCGTGAATCTCAATGTCCCTGTTTCAGCACCTATTTAAAAATTCGAATTTTGGCAAATCCTTTCTTAGCGCACGTCTATATTATAATAGCTATCTGTATGCCAAATTTCAGCCAGATCCGTCCAATGGTTTGAGCTGTGCGTTGATAGCAGTCAATCAGCTTACTGTTTTTTATATACAGATATGGTTGCCATGGTAATATGGACCCACACACACACATACACACACACTGACATACATTCATTTTTATATATATAGATTAATATTATTTTTTAAAGTTTTACTACATATAAATCTACATATAATTTTATTTTTATGATCACCCTACCTCAGTTTTAACTCCCATGATACATATTTTATACATATTAAATTTACAGCTGATCCCGTGCACTTCGTTGCCCAATAAAAATACCAACTCTATATGAATTATATTGATTATATTAATCTCGATATTCATTATTAATTATTATCCTTACCTAACTTAAAATGGATTACCCAATATTCGTGCACAGTTTTACACTTGCCATCTACAGAAGTGCTTTTGGATATACAATATTTTTCGTTGTACCGTCCGGTGCGTACACAAATAAATCAACTGGTCTTCTTAAATAACAACCAAATTAACCAATGGCAACCGATAATTATTATTATTATATAGCTTTGAAACCCACGGCAACTATTTATAAACGAAAAAGTCCATATAAAATCTCAAAATCCCTATTTGAGCACAACATCGTCAACATCTCAATGATTATCAATTCACATTAAAAATTACAACTCTACATGAATAATATGTTCTACATATCAAAATGGCAACCATTTATATACAAAACTTTCCATAGGAAGTTACAAAATAAAATATAAAAGGTTGCCATGGTAATGTGGACAGTGTCCACTGGACACACACGGACTATATATATAAAATATCTGATCCCATGCACTTCGTTGCCCATTAAAGACCTTTTTTGATTATAATAGCTACAACACTCATTGGTACCTTTGGTAACCATGGTAACTATGGTAACCATGGTAACTATGGTAACCATGGTAACTATGGTAACCATGGTAACTATGGTAACCATGGTAACTATGGATCATGGTAACCTTAATAACCATGAAACCTTAGTAACCTTAGTAACCATGGCAACCTTGGTAACCATGGTAACATGGACACACAGACACACAGACTGACATACATTCATTTTTATATATATAGATATAGTATAATATTTATTTTATCACAATTGATAAAGAAGAGTAACACAATTAAGTACAGACAATCTGAAGTCTTGAGAATTATTTCAAAGGATTATAGAGAATGAAGAAATACCATAAGCCATATATATAGTCATAAGGGTAAAATATTCATTGAAAGCGTATAATATCACCTCTTCAAACAAAAAATATAGATCCCTAATGAGGCTGATGATCACATAAATTGATAAGAAATAACTAAAAATAACACAATTTCAAAAATAAATCAGACAATTACACTTTCTCTAAAAAGAGAAAAATATCCAGTTGTTTTGTAATTTTTGCCAACATTTCCAAATAATTAAAAAAGTGTTGTGAAATTCAAAAAATATCCACCTGAATGCATCAACTAGATCAAAAATGACACCAAATATTCTGATAAAATTCGAGAAGTTTGTAAAATAATATTAATACCTATCTATTTATATTTATTAGTGATATAACAACGAGCAATAGCTAAAGAAGATCTACCAAAAAATAAATAAATATAATTTAGTGAAGCCTTTAATTTAAAACCAAAACGTTAATTCAAGGATAATATATTCGCCATTGCTTTTCTTTATGTCCTACTAATTCAGGTACTTTTATATTAATTATACTTCTAAGTTCATATATGTTCATTACTACGTTTTTAATTTGATATGTAATTTTTTTAGAATCTGAATATGAGTCTAATGATAATTGTTGTAATACTGTTGGTACATTTCAAGTTACGAGGACATGATATAACTTAAAGTTAAATCACATTAATTGAATACATACTCAATATTCTACTAGATAATTTATAAATTATGAGAATTTTTTGTTACGCCTGCACCGAAAGTTTGGTTTTCGATAGCGGTTGAAGCGTTGGGAAGCGTCCTTTTTCCGTCCAGTGGGTGGTAAAGTGGGAATCCCTAATAGTGCCCGGCGGTAAAGCGGAAATCCCCAAAAAAGTGCTGGGCGCACATTTCACGAGCGTATACCCAGCACAAACAGACACTGAAATCTATACTACGGTCGTCGATCTTTAAAAAACATAAACTTATGGTTAAATCTTATAATCATATTATAACCTCCATGCGTGACTCTTAAAATAAATAAAACCAAATAGTTTCTTTTATGAAATATTGTATAATTATAGTCTAGTTGTTGCATAGATCCCTGCATTACCTTTGTCGTGATCGATGAATGAAGAGGCGTGACAAAAAATAGTATGAGTATTGAGTAGCTCGCGCGGGAAGGCAATTTCAGTCTTGGGCGAAATTCGGCCCTCACCTACGGCTTGTGCCGCACACGTTGCCCGCAACTAAAATAGCTCACTTCCCGCCCTTGCCACACAATTTACTATTAAAATAACGTAAACTTTGTTTGTAGCTCTGCAAATTGCAAACAATAATCCAGTTCACTGCCATAAAAACAAAAATGTATGTTTAAAACCGTTTCAACCGTTTCGGTTGAAACGTGCTACTGATGTAGGAAATATTCTACAGCCACTTGATCAAATAATGGCTCTGATATTATACAGATATATTATTTTTTTTATTATAATTTCCACTTAGAATCTAAAATAATAAAATAAAATAATTTTAAAAGTGTTTTAAGATTGAAAAACATACATTTAAAAGTTAGAAAAATGTGATACCTAACCGAGTTTTACATGATTATACCACCATGTACAATATGCGTGAAGTAAGTCCGCCATTACCTACACCCCACACATTAGCCGAAGCCTCTGGTATTTTTCAAACAATTTGCAATTTATTTCATTTAATTTGCTGTGATCTTCAGAATTCGGTAATACAAATTGCACCAACAATTGTAATAAATAGGTAATATTACTGTTTGGAAAGTGCATAGACCGTAGATTGAAGTGGGAGGCAACTTCAAGCACCCATCTACTCAACATACAAGTGTACAACCATATTATCACTTATCTACTTGAAATAGTACACTAGACCATAAAGCTGAAGAATTTTATAAGATAAGTAGGAAGGTATTACAAAAGAGTTTGTTAAAAAAAATAATTTTTTTAATTTGTAAAAAAATGGTGTTAGCTGGCTAAATTAATGGTGTTTCACATATTAACACAGTGTTTCCCACATTAGAGATATGGACGAAAAATAAAATCTACTTAAAAATTAGAAAATTATTTCTATCAAATTTTTGCAATATCAAGTACTATTTTTAATATTGTGGAAAAATAATCAAAAACAAAGCAAAATCGATATTATTTAAGCAAAGACAGTTTTTGAAACCAAGCGTTTGAAGTTAAAATGTTGTCAAAATTGGTAATTTAAACGAAAAACAACGACTTTTCTCCTTAACATTTTATAGTTCAATATCTTGTTGTAAGTCAAAAAATATTAAATGTAGATACTTCAAAAATTTTGTTTATTGTTATTTTTTATACCGCCAATGCAATATTATATACTTATTTTAAGAAAATCAATTTAATCGTTGACGTAATAATTATTAATTAATCAATTTGAGAAAGAATAAATAAATATGTAAATACATCTAAATCTCATTAATTATAAATAGAATAATAAATGTTGATTACCTATATAATATAATATTATATAAAAATAAACACTCGAGTGTTTCAATTTGAGTGTTCTATTAAATTCGTTAATATGACATCATATTTAATTGATTAACATTATTATATTATATTTAAAAATATATTATGTCAACGCATCAGGGTATATATACTAATAACAATAAATCAGTGGAATACAGTAGTCATTTACTCTGCGTCTCGTTCGTTGTTGCAGCAAACGTACCTACCGTATTTTTTTTTTCAAAGTTATTGTATTTAAAGTTTTTCTTAACAACCACAATGGTTATTAGTTTGAATAACTGTAGTCTTTCGTCCATAGTTGTATTTATACTATACTTTACGATTTCTAATTTGTGGATACTGCCTGTGGAGAACGCTAGAATATTGGCAGTGGAGACACTGGGATGCAAAAGCCACTGGAACTTTATGAGCGCTGTGCTGCGGTCGCTGACGGACGCCGGTCATAGCGTAACCGTGTTCACCCCGCTTCCGGACGGCGACCGGGACAACTACACGGAAGTGGATTTGTCAAACGATTTTCCGATATTAATGGCAAAGGATATGAAGGCGACATTGGACGTTTACGGCAATCCGATCGTGTACATGAATATGAAGACTGGGTTGAACAGACGATATTGTGATTCGGTTTACGGGAACCGACGGTTCAACGAAGTAATCCGTGGTAAATACAACGAAGATTTCGACGTAATCATCATAGAACCATTGAGTGTCGACTGCATGTCATACCTGGCAAGCATACTGAACTTACCTATAATATATGTGATCCCGTCCCCCATGATTACTTACGCAGAACGTAAGTTTACCGGACACATATCGAACCCCGCGGTTGTCTCTAATTTATTAGCACAACGAGCCGTACCCAAGACGTTCGTCCAAAGAGTAGCGAACACCGCACTTTTGGCATATAGTATGTTAATAACTGTATACGATGAATGGATGCTGAGAGTCACTGATCCAAGACCGTACGACTTATCTCCCAAGGTTCATCCATCTATAATATTTCAAAACTCCCACTACATAACTGAGTCTTCGAGGCCAGTTTTGCCTAATCTTGTTGACGTAGGTGGTATTCACTTAAAACCACCAAAAAGTATACCAAAAGTAAGTAAAATAATACAGTTTCTATAATTTCTAAGAAATCTATAAAATTTTATTAATTCCTTTTAATTACCTAAAGGAACTAGGTACCTATTATACTAACTGTAAAATATATAGGTAATAATTATTATATGAGGCTGTAGTCTAAATAGTAGTTGGTTCCTACAATAGCTATCTTTAGTTAATTACATAAATATTATTTATATTATTCTTTTTTTTTTTAATGGAAATTCATATTTTGAATAATTTATGTGAAAACATTAAAAACTATTAGTGGTTATGCCTGTTATTATAATATTGTCATTGTCCGTATTTTAGGATGTTTTAGACTTTATTGAAGATTCGCCCCATGGAGTGATTTATTTCACATTCGGTTCCATAATTCAACTATCTTCATTACCAGAAAATATTATAAAATCGTTTAAAGAAGCATTTGCTAACGTCCCACAAAGAGTTTTATGGAAATATGAAGGTGAAATGAAAGACGTGCCAAAGAACGTGATGATAAAAAAATGGTTTCCTCAACGAGATATTCTTCGTAAGATATTTTAATAAACTAATTTGCATACTATAATTTATTATAATTAATCTGATAAATTTGTGTATAGTGCATCCCAAAATAAAACTATTTATTAGTCATGGAGGGATATCTGGGGTTTATGAAGCAGTAGACGGTGGAGTTCCTGTACTCGGTTTTCCCTTGTTTTTTGACCAGCCGAGAAATATAGACAACTTGGTTACTGCTGAAATGGCAATCAGTATGGACCTGTTCACAATCAACAAAGAAAAACTGTTAAATAATATCTTACAACTCGTTAACAACGAAAAGTGAGCTTAAATAATAAAATAACATACTAGATTCTATATATATAAGATTATAAAATATAATCTTAAATTAAATTTAAAAAAAAACTCTACAAGTATGGTCCATTAATATTAAATATTAATTCAACATGATTTTATTTTAGATACATGAGAAATGCGAAAATTGCCTCTCAACTTTTCAAAGATCGACCTATGTCACCAGAACAATCAGTTGTTTATTGGACAGAGTATGTTATTCGCCATAAAGGAGCGCCTCATTTAAAATCTCACGGACTTAATCTAACGTGGTATCAATACTTCCTATTGGATGTGATAGCTGTAATATTAACATTTATTTCATTAGTATTATTTATAATTTATAAGCTTGTTAAATTTATGTGCGAGTACACTTCAAAATATTCACACAGTTAAAAGGACAGTTAAAATGTTCATGCATTTATAGCTCTAAAGAATTTGCACATTTTAGTGATTTTGTCAAAATTCTAACTTGAAACGCCTAAAAAAAATATTGCGAACATATTGTATTTTGAATTTTTTATATTTTTAAATCGGTAGATATGAACAAGTTTTTTATGAGAAATGGTTAATTTAATGAACTATTATATATTCTCGAAGTTTTTTAGTTCAATCATATTAGTTATTAGTTATATTTGTTTGAGATGCCCACAACAAAAGAATAAATTAATTGCCAATGATTTCAATTGCCAATGGAATTTTCCATTTTGCATTGGATCTATGGACGGAAAACACATAATGTTACAAGCTCCGGTTCAAACAGGAAGTGAATATATTAATTACAAGGGATTTTTCAGTGTTGTTTTATTTGCTGTTGTCGATGCCAATTACAATTTTGTATACGTCAACGTTGGATGTCAGGGCCGTATATCAGATGGTGGCGTGTTTGCACTTTGCGAACACTACATTCAAACATTTTTTAGAAGAACAAAAATTAAATTTACCAGAAGACATGTGCCTGCCAGGAAGAGAAAAATGTATTCCACATATATTTGTTGCTGATGAAGCTTTTCCTTTGAAAAAACATATCATGAAACTATATCCAGGCACACAAGAAAAAGGATCAATAAAAAGAATATTTAACTACCGCTTAAGTAGAGCCCGACGAGTGGTTGAAAATTCGTTCGGAATAGTGTCTGCAATTTTTAGAGTTTTACGAAAACCTATGCTTCTAGAACCAGAAAAAACAACAATTATAACCTTGACCTGTGTCCATTTGCATAACTTTTTGCGAAAAAGTTTTTCATCTAGAACAATAGTTATACACCACCTGGTATTTTTGACATAGAAGATTTAGATGGAGGGACAATAATACCTGGCCAATGGAGAAGAGATCAAAATAATTTAACACCATTAGCAAGAATTGGAAGAAAACCATCACTAGCTGCACAAGAAATTAGAGACAAGTTTTGTGATTTTTTTTTCAAAGTGCTGCTGCTAAAGTATACCTTGGCAAGACAACTATTGATGTTAAAATAGAAAAAAAAAATAAAACACAAATTAGTTAGGCTGACTCTCATTGTATCATAAGAATAATTGTAAATCAAATATTTACAAATTGTAAAGTATTGAACCATTTAAGTATTATTCATTAAAAAATTAAACTCATATTATTATATGATCTTTCAATTAGTGTATAGTGGCATAATTTAAAAGTTGATTTATTAGCAAAATATATAGTGACTTACGTAGATATTGAAATGAAAATATTACATATTGTATTTCTTCTAACAGTAGGTATACATATTGTAAACTGTATAATAAATATTATTATGTGTGTTGTTGAAAAAGTAAAGCTAACCTAATATTTTGTTTTGTATATTATGAGTTCATATTTGGACTGTATAATGAATTAAATTTGTAGTTTTAAACCAAACTTGACATAGGTTATTAAGTATGTATTATAAATTATAATGAAACATAAATAATTATGAATAGTACCTATATAGTAAGTATATAGGTAATAATTAATAACTCATAATATGTATAATTTTAATATAATAATATGGAAGCATTGAAGCCAAATATTTTGAATGTAAGCATATTAGTCTTATTTTATTAAACCAATGTTATTAAGACCTATGTATGTGTTGATGAAAAATTAAATTGTTTAAAAATGTTATAGTAAGTAAGATTCTCATAATGTTAAAACAGTTTAATATATACACATCACTCTGTATTTAAAAAGTATTACATTATTATGTAATTTATAATTTACTTACTTCAATTCCAGCATCAGACGTTACACTAGGTTTGTTTTTATCCTTTAAAAACATCAAAGAATTGAAGGCGAACCATTTTGACTCCATAATTTCGTCAGTTCCAGCACCTGACTTCGTCTTTTTGCATTCGCGATAAAATTGGCCAATAACATTTTTCATTTTTTTTTTCAATGTCTGCTTTGTCAATGTTCATTATTTTGAAATTTCACACCACGCGTTATTTTTTTTAAACTTATTTTTATAATCTGACAGCGTTTGGTCCCATAGTAGGTACTGGTCTTTCATAGTACAAATCAATTAACTGACACACTTTTTCTCTAGATAACTCCATGGTAGGTATTAACGAATAATAGCAAATACGTATATTACAATATTTAAAGTGATCAGTAGTGACTAAATCGACCAACTGAACTTACTAAACACAAAATAGTACAATTTCTGATTCGATTGTAAAAATATCAAAATGTTTCTGTGACAACGACGACAGGTCTGGACATGCCGATACATTGTCGATGATAATGTTTGCAGTCCTGTAAAGAATACTTTTGAAAAGTACTTGAGTAAGTACTCAAATACATTTTTTTTTAAGTATTTCAAATACTACTCAAATACTTTGAAAAAGTATTTGGAATACTTTTCAAATACTTTTGGAATACTTTTCAAATACTTTTGGAATACTTTTCAAAAACTTTTGGTTTTTAAAGTGGGTTTCTAATTATTGTAATATAGACACATAGGTAGTAAATTTATAATCATTTTTATTTATTATTTATTAAATAAATGTTTATTACATTTTTAGATTCTGAGCGGAGCGATGAATGTATTGGTTTTACAATGATGTGTGTTTTTATATTTTTATATTTTTATATTTTTTTTTGTGTCATCACGTTTTGGGACAGTAAAAGTGCTTCGATTTTCTTCAACAGTACCTTTTCTGATAGGAAAGTGAATCTAGTTGGTACTTTGGGGGGTCAAAAGTAAACATTTCCCAGTAGTTTTCACAAGCGCCGGGAAAAAACAACATAAAAATTAAGGAAAAACGGGAATTTTTACGCAAAATCGATTTTCCAAAAAATCGAATTTGGTTTTTGGTGTAACTTTAAAACAAATGACCGTAGATACATGCAATTTTCACTGGTTGTTTATATTTGCATTTTCTATACACGATAACATTTTCAAAATATTTTGATTTATTTTGAACTGTTTAGGGACATTTTCATTTTTCATTTTTTTTTTAGTTTTTTTGCTAGAAATATCAATAAAATTTTATTTGTTGGTTGCGAAAGCTTGAAAATTTAATAGAAGGCTCCTAATATGATGTAAAGAAATGAATTTAGTATGAAAATAGTTTATATATGAATAAATGCATAATATAGATACATCTAATATGATTTTTATTTGAAAATCTGCTGATTTTAATATTAATTTGAAGTTTGTAAATATTTTCATTGAAAATATGATATTATTATACAAATATGCGTACTTATCAATTATTTAGAGTAAAATCGAATACAAAAAAAGCTATATTTATATCAGCGTTGTAGACTGTTAAAATTATACATTTTTGTGATATCTTTATTATTTACGTATCGTCTTATTAAGATAGTTTTATCAAGATATATATATATATATATATATATAGTGTCTATATATTTTGGAGTATAAAATATGTTTATATTTACGATCAGTATGTTGATATTTACAACGAATATAGAAATATAATAGTATGAATATATATTATGCCTATATAAAATCAAACTATGACTAATTATTAAATATCTACTATACAATATGGCAAGATATATCCTAACTTGTGACGGTAATATACATGCGTTTTACATTATTTATAAAGTAAATAGAATAATGTATAAAATATTTATGCATCTAGTCGAAAAACTTCAAAATAAATTCCTGTGATGCATTAGTTAGTGATGCAAGTGATGCATATAAGATATAATCTGTATCAACCCGGTATCATATGATTTATTATAATATAAGCGATAGGGTATGATATCAGTATAAATATACCCTCATGTATTTAACGATAATTGGAGAGAAATATATGATTTCTATGTTACGTTGATAGAAAATCATAAAAATATAGTGGTCTTATATTTAATCTGAAAATCATTCTTAATCGACATGTTATAGGTTTGTGTATTTCGACTATTTTCGAGACAGGTATAGTGATGAAAATCAATTAAAATTTTAATGATATTATAGGTATTATATTATATAGCTGATGAATTTGGCTCTATGAATACAGTTTTTATGAAATTTAAAGAAAAATAATAACTTTTAGCAAAGGTATCTATGAATGCACCAATATGAAAAAGAAGTTTGTATATATTTTCAGTGAAAATATGATATTATTATACAAATAAAATTTGTGTATTAATTATTTAGATTAAAGTTGATACAGTAAAACCTATATTTATATATGTTTTGTAGACTGTTGAAATTATAAATTTTTGTGAGATTTTAAATAGGTATTTACTTTTTGTCTCATATTTTTATCAAGATCTGTATAGTACCCATATGTGTCGAGAAACAAATATGTTTATATTTACGATCAATATGCTGATATTTACGATCGAAATGATAATATTTATGACAACTAAAAAATATAATATTTATCATAATATGGTTACATCTAATATGATTTTTATTTGAAAAATCTGTTGAAATGTAAAGAATTACACATGTGAGAAAAGAAAGCAATATATCGGAAATAATAAAAAGATTTGAATTATGATAAGTGATTTTATTACAAAAACAATTTAATATCTATAGAGATATTTTACAAAATAAAAAAAAACAAAACAAACAAAACAAAATAATATCTATAAAGGTATTTTACAAAAAAAAATAATAAACTAATTGATATCTATATATTTCACAAAATAAAAATAAAATAACCTTAACATTTATAAAATTAAATATAATTTACAAATATATTATATTTATGTAAAAAATTAACAATCGAGCTTAAAATGTCCATGAGCGTAGGTATGTATTCTATCGGATTGTGCTATCCGCTTATCATCTTGTCGGTTGAAGCATAATTTTTCGGATTTGATTGTTCGTATCTTATGGTTGAATGATCTGAAGGATACATTTTCCCTGGTATACAGTTTAGAGTTCTCTTTTTCGTCGTCGGCGAAAAGGCAATCGAAATGATCATTGAAAGTCATGTGATTTTTAACTACATGCCCTCGGACGCCTTTTGCCTTAATTTTCTCCTTGTCGTTCAAAATGTAAGCGTATGACTTTGCTCTAAGCGCAATAAATTTGGTAATTGGCTGTCCCTTTGCCTCATCGGAAAACAATCCTGGAATTTTCTTTCGTTCGGCAATGTAGCATGGATGGTCTATCGGTAAATCTGAAGTATCCATTCGGTCAAGTAAGTTTGAATTGCACTTCAAATCTTTGTAAAAATCGTCGGTCTTAATATGATATATCAGTGAATCTAGAAAAAAAAAAAATAAATATAATGTTTGTAATAGAAAAATTGAATAATAATTATTTACCTGTATCTGTATACATGAGGTTGATTTTATTACCATAATGCGCCTTCATTACATTGAAATGGTAATCGTACATCATGGTTTTACTGATGTCCAATACTGCGAAACCTAAAAAAAAAAATAAATAAAAATGATAAATAGGTATTAAAATATGAATTTTTTTTTTTTATGCAAGTAAAATTGTTACCTATATATATTGGCTTGTTAAACATGATAATTTTGTTTTCCAATGAGACAGCAGCAAGATTTTCACTGTATGTCGTACAATGTTTAAATGTTTGCTTGTTGATGAGTTTTTGTAATCTTTGTGGACATGAAACTAGCTCCATCTTAAAACGTTTTCTTAAAGATTCCATGGTTTTCCCAAAAACGGCATTGTTTAAGAGTTTGAAGAAATCCTTTTCGAATTCATTCTTCGCGTTTTTTCTCATTTCGGTGTTTAATTTAATGTATTTTGCAAGCCAATCCGATTGTTTGAACTCTAAAACTCTGTGTACTTTTTCTACAATTAATCCATTTGCTATGGCTTGCTGTAGGTTTCGATAATGGATTACGTAATTTTTTTTTGAATGAAGTGTCGCCATAAGTTTTTTCACTTTTGAACCAGGAGGAATTTTTTTCTCAGGTAAAAATGGAAGATCGTTATGTAGGTCATGCAGTTCATTAGGGTATGATATGTCTACCTCATACACTCTGCCTATATCTGACGTCGGCGTCAAAGCATCTAATC